GAAAAGCTGACAAATGTAATTGTGTATATTTGAAGCCTACAACGCGATGACTTGATACACATTGTGAAATGATTACCAAGGTCAAGATAATTAACACATCATCACCTCATATAAGTAACTGATTTTTTTTTTTTGGTGTGATGAGAATGCTTAGGATCTACTCTCAGCCGATTTCAAGCATACAACACTGTGTCATTACCTGTGGTCACTATGCTGAATATTAGAGGCCTAGAACTTGTTCGTCTTGTCACTGAAAGTCCGTGCCCTTTTACTCACATCTCATTTCCCAGCTCCTGGCAACCACCATTGCACTCTCTGTTTCTATGAAATCTACTTAGATTTTTTTTTAATTTTAAGTTTCCACACATAAGTGATACCGTATAGTCCTTGTTTCTCTGTCTGGCTTATTTCATTTACTTTCCTTTCTGTTTTTAAGCCCCACAGCACCAAGGCTCTGCTTAGATAGACATTCAACCAATGCTCAATCCAGGTGAATTGGCACTTATGATTATCTGCGGTGTGCTGAGTCCCAGGGGAGGGGACAGAGCGGATACTGAGGATGTGATGGCATGGGCCACGCCTCAGCACTGCAGGCACTCAGAGAAAGGAGAGATGGGTGGGACCAGGGGAAGAGGTAGGAGGTTCTGGAAAGGCACAGCAACCAGAGCTAGGAAGGAGACTGCTCAGAAAGTAGAGGTCATATTGCTGGGGCCACAATGTGACCCCAGCAGTGTGTTAGACCTAACAGCATGATCAAGAGTGTCCCAGGAAGACACCTACATCCCTCATAGCCCAAAGGACACAGAGCAATACAGGCTTTTCCAGCCTGTACTAGGCGCTCCGCTCAGCCCTCCTAAATGAGCCCGCACTGTCTGCTGACTGTGGAAATGGGGGGGAGGGCAGAGAAGGTGACATCATGCTTCCCCGGTCATCCAGGCCCAAGGCTGGACGTGCTGCAAAGAACCAGGCCTCTGCTGGGACGAGGGTGGGCCGGCGACCAAGGCCAAGTTGGAGTATTTGAAAAAATTATCTAGAAAACCTACAGAGTATTCTTTACTCTAGCATCTCCCCAAACTCAGTCATCTGTTTCCTATTTTCACAGTTTTTACTGCCTACCACGCACCTGCACTAATACTGACTTAACATTTGCTTTAAATAGACTCACTTTGTAAACTTAAACATAAAACATATTAAGATAAGAAAGTATACCACAAGACTAACTGGAAAACCAGTGTTGCTTGCCTTTCACAGAAATAATCACATTTAAAGCGTATTAAAATCAATGCATTACTAATAAATCATCCATGTCCCATCCAGGATCATCTTTGGCTGAAAATGTGCTAAACCTTGGAAAATACTCCTTTCCCCAATTTTAAAGACTGTATTAAAACTGAGGCTGAAAAAGCTGACATATTTGCCAAAGGGAACAAGAACATGCTTGAGACGGAAATCATGGTGTGTCTTGGACATGATGAGACCCAACAGATGGATGCACGGTGGACTTGCCTGGAAGGATGAGCCTTCATCTAACGCACACAGTCGATTGCTGCAACCAGAAGACAAGCTCCCTGGCCTCCCGAGGCGGAGAACAGTGGGTCGGACACCACCCACCACTTACCGTTCTTGGAGACAAATTGGGAGGTGACTCCTGCCTCAAATGTGGCGAAAACAGGGCTGTGGTCGCTTGTCATGATGTCGCTGGTGCTGCCTGCAGGGGAGGGAAGGAGAAATCCTTCTGGTCAAGCCAAGGATGGCAAACCCTCAACAGAAATTGACTTACATTTTTGGAAGCTTCCAGAAGTTTCATTGTTTTGTACCTGTGGTTCCATTGACCTTCCACAACCACACTCAAAAGTCTCAGTGAAAATGCATGACACTGTCTCCTCCACGGCTAAATGTGCCTGTAATCGTTTTTCCTAAAGACTTGCGAGTTTTTAAACACATAGATTGTGGAGTGTGAACTGTGAAGATTTCTCTGTTCTGTGCACTTTGTTGTATTGATGAGGAGCTCACGCTCCAGAGTGGGATGCGGGTTGAGGTCACTGAGTCCATCAGCGAGAGGTGGCACCTTCCCCCATCCCACAAGGCATTCGAGGATGGGAGAGAGCTGAAAGTGATAAAGTGTAGACACTGAGTGTAGACAACTCTTTTAAGGAACTTGGTGCTTGGATGAGAAAGGAAGGCAGCAGAGCATGTCTGGAGGGGGTAAGAGAAAGAGCAGAGTTCTAGAAATTCTGAGTTCTAAGTGCTTCTGATACAGTCACATGGAGATGTCTGGCTGGGTACTCAGGACTGGAGATACATCTTTAGATTTGGAGTCATGAGGTTAGGTGGAAGCAGAAGCCACAAGGACACCCAGGCTCCACAGGGAAGACGTGAAGGATGAGAAGAGATAAGGATGAAACTCACAGCCAGCATGAATGGGCAAAGGAGGCAGCACAGGAGACCAAGGAGGCGATCAACAGATCTATATCCTTTTCAATAAAGCTTTTACAAATTGGCAAAGGAAAAACATCCCACCCCTCAACCAACCAAAGGATATGGGCAGAAAATTCACGAAAGAAATATAGATGGCCAATAAACAGGGAAGAAAATTACTGACTTGCTAACGACCATCAGGAAGACAAACTGAAACAACAGTGCGGTGGATGGAGAAAGAGAATGAGAAGGAAGACAATGGGGATGCTGATACTGGGGACAGTGGGGAACCTGGTACTGGGGACAGTGGGGATGCTGGAGTGGAGATGCTGGTACTAGGGACAGTGGGGATGCTGGTACTGGGGACAGTGGGGAAGCTGGTACAGGGGACAGTAGGGATGCTGGTACTGGGGACAGTGGGGAAGCTGGTACAGGGGACAGTAGGGATGCTGGTACTGGGGACGTTGGGGATGCTGGTACTGGGGACAGTGGGAATGCTGGTACTGGGGACAGTGGAGATGCTGGTACTGGGGAGTGGGGATGCTGATACTGGGGAGAAGGAAGACATGGAGCAAAGGGTCCAGGTGAAAAGCTTAGCCAGGCCAGGAAGTGGGCACCCCTCCCCTGAGTCAGGACGGGCACCAGCCTGAAACATGTTTGGACATGAGCAGGAAGAAGTCAGCGAGGGTCTGGTGCTGTGTTAAGCAGGGGCCGACGGAAGCGGGGAGTCAGGCCAAGTGTGGGGCTATAAGTTTGTGGTGGTGATTGAAGAGGAGAAGTTAAAGGGTGGACAAGCAGGTTTTAAAAAAAATATTCTTAAAAATATTTAACATGTGTACTGAATGTGGTTACATTAGCACTACACTAACTGTGCCCGAAAACAGGGGGGGAGCTACTACTTAGGTGGCCTCCCTGTAGCTACACCCTGTGCGTCCCCCACTCCCACTGGGAGTCTGGGCCTGCCCACGTGACTTCCTTTGGCCTACAGGACATTAGCAGATGTGACCCAAGCAGGGATCTAAACATCCGTGACTTGAGCTGGGAATCCGGGACCAGGAAGCAGCAGCCTGAACTAGCCTGCTGGATGATGAGAGAATTTTAAGGTAGTTGTTACTCAGCAGTAGGCACCTATACATCCTATTGATGCCAACCTCCATAAGACTCAAGCTCCCAGTTTACCCCCATTTCCGAGCTCTGGACATTCTCCCCTTTTCTTACCAATTTCTTGCCCACCTGCAACTCATTAAACCCTCCTGCCATGCCCTCTGGCATTCCATGAAATATCATTAGCAAAACTCCCTACACCTTCAACTTTCCCTTCACATTCCAAACCTGGACCTTCCTGGAAGACACTGCAGCCTCTCAAGCGAGGCCTGGTTTTCCTCCCCACCCCTCATGTGTGGCCTGGAGAGGGGGAAGTTGAGTCCTCCTTACTCCTCAATGCCACTTTCAGACCAATCTCCCTCCTTCTTTCTAAAGACCTCCATTATGGTTCCACTGTTTTGAATGCCAAGTTCAGGTTCAAAAAGTGGTCATGTCACAATTCTCCCTCCTGAATCTCTGCAGAGGCCAGCTGAAGAGGGCAGATGGCTGAATCAGGAATTGGCAGGACTCACGGAGCTGCAGGGTGTGGGCAGGAGGCATGGCTGAGAGAGGACTGGGTGTGACTGATGGTGGCAGGAAAGGTCACAGGCCTGGAGAGCTCAGGTGTAGAGGGGGCACGAGGAGGGAACACACAGGTGAGGAGGCTGCGGGCAGAGGGTGCCATGTGGGCCTTTGAAGGTTGTGAAGGCGGAACAATTGCTTGGCTGTGGCTGTGGGGGTGGGTTGCCTTTCTGTGCATCTAAAGGTGAATGGAGTTCATCTGGTGAAGTTACTTCTGGGAAACAGAGCTCAGGAACGAGGGGACTGCAGGGCGCATGCCTTAAACTGTCCCAGGGTAGCTGCTCTGGTCCCTTCTGGGCAGCGGGAGGCTCCCAAAAGAAAGGAATGGAAATCAGTTCAACTTAACAGGACCTGAGTTGAATGTGGGCGTCTGTCGGTCCCCAGAGAGGGTGGGAGCTATGAAGGTGGCCTGGGGGCAGCAGTAAGACCCCCACTCTGTGGAGGTGAAACAGGCCTGGATAACTTTTCCATAATTATTTTAACACTGCATAGTATTCCTTTTTCATCAATTTGACCCAATTTATCTTTAAATCTCCCCAAATACATATATGTATATTTATGATCTGTATTAGGTTGAACCATATGAATTTCCATTATTGAACTATTTTGACCAATGAAAATACCACTTTCATATGGTTCAAACATAATAAGCTCTTTTCAAAAAAAAAATCTGGATTTACTTTTTAAAGTGGCTCATAATTCAAATGTTTCCCAAACCAGAAGATATGTACTCTGCTGCAGCCCAAGAAGGGACAGAAGGCATCATCTCTTTAAGGTCACTTGACTGGGGTTGCAGGGCAGTCTCCCATTTTACAGATGGACAGACGGGAGCCCTTCAGTTTAGGGCAGTCAAACCTCCCAACTTGTCACTCACCATAGGACTGACACACCACGTGCACCAGAGGGTAAGACTTCCAGAGGACTCGGTCACACCAGGAGGGCAAGTTGTACTTCATCTGTGGATCAAAGTCATAAGCTTTGTAAAATGCCTGCCACTTTTTTTTGTTTACCATATCGTAAACGAAGAGATTAACTCAGGGCCTCTGTAATCCTTGCCTTCCCCTGCTGCTGGTGCTTTATAGGATTTCCCCAGAGGTGGCTTTAAACCCTCTCCATCTGCCTCCACAGCCGTGCCCCGCACCTGCAGACACCTGGACTCCTGCTTTGGAACCAGACGGATTCCCCTGGCCGTGCTCCCTACCCACCCCCCTTGCTACTTCAGAGTCTCTTATATTTTTACATTCTCTGTTCTTCTGACTCAGATGAAGTTCTCTACCTGTATCTTCAACCCAGTCTCTCCTTATCTTCCCTAGTCACTTACTTTAATAACACAGTCCAAGGGGGAGGGTCTAGCTCAGTGGTAGAGAGCAATGCTTAGCATGCATGAGGTCCTGGGTTCAATCCCAAGCTCCTCCACTAAAACAAAAACAGAAACACACTCCAGCCACACACACCCATTCACACATCCATCCACCTATATACTTACCTATCTGTCTCTCTATCCAACCATCCATCCACCCACCTACCTATGCACATATCTATCACCTGACCCACACATCCGTCTACCCATCTAATTGTTCAAGCAATATGTACTATGACAAGCTCTCTCTGGGCTATACTGTGAGCAAGGTGTCCACTGGGTGTGACAGACAAGGCAAACTGGCAACGACAACAACGCTCTGCAATGAATATCCTTATCCTCTTGAGCTCTAGCTCTTTCTCCTCTGCCTGCAAACGTCGAAGTACTCATCCTAAAAGAGCCTATCCGTGGCATCTCCTTAAATGACTTTTTTCTTTTCTTCTTTTTTTTTTTCTACCAATTTTCTTTCAAGAATGTTCTATTTTCACTGCCTCTAATTCTGGACTGCCCAGTTACTCTTTTTTAACTTGAGGTGCAACTTCCACACAGGAGCGTGTACTAATCTAAACTGTACAGCCTGAGGATTTTGTCACCATTTGTACACACCCATTGAACCACCCAGATCAAGACAGAGGAAATTTCCATCATCCCAAAGTGTTCCGTCACATCCTCTTGAACTTATAAATGGACTCATTCCATATGTAGTCTTTGTATACACGTATATATGTCTGGCTTCTTTCACCCTTCCTGTCACCTGTAGAAGTTCTTTGTTCTGTTGTTGCAGTTGTATCCCACTGTCTGTGAAAACCACTTTTTTCGGGGGGTGGGTACAGCTCAGTGGTAGAGCACGTGCTCAGCATGCATGAGGTCCTGGGTTCAATCCCCGGTACCTCCATCAAAAAAACAGATAAATAATACTTCAATAAAAATATATATTTTAAAAAGAAAAAATAGATAAATAAATGAACTTAATTACCTCCCCCACCAAAACAAAAAATCCCCACCAAAACCAAAAATATTAAAAAATAAAACCCAAACCCACATTCATCTATTCTACTGTTGGTGAAAGTAAGGTTGTTCCCAGTTTTTGGACATTGTGTACAAAGTTGCTATAAACATTCTCGTATCTGTCTTAATGCTCTAACTTCTCTTGGGTAGACACCAAAGTAGAATTGCTGAATAGGGCAGGTGCATGTTTAGATTTCAAAGATGCTGCCAGTTCTCAGCATTGGCTGTCCCTGAGAATTACGAGTGGAGCTTCACAAAGACACAGAAAGCAGGGCCCCACCCCAGGTATATCGCATCAGAACCTATGTATTTCTGAAAATCTTCCATGACCACTGATCCCTGAAATCTCTCAGCCCCAGCTTTGGTGATGCCAAACTGCGTGGTTGGTTCTCCTGCCACCTACGTGCACTCTTTTCCCATCTCCTTTGTTGTCTCTGCTTCTTCCTGTCCTCTCTGGACGTAGATGACCCCAAATCTGTCCACAGCCCTTATCTCTTCATCTTCCACTCACTTCTTGGCAACCTCACCTACCCCCATGATTTGACTGTCTTCTCTGTGCAGACAATTCCTGAATCTATGACCCAGCCCTGGCATTGCACTTGAGCATCACTCGAGTATTTTCAGCTGCCTTCTGGATGTTTTCGCTGAGATCTTCCACTGATGTTACACAATAAGCCTGGAAACAAGCTCCGTCTCTCCCCTCCGAGCCAGCTCTGCCTGAGTTCCCTGTTCCCATCAACGTCAATCAGATCGATCCACGCATCCTGCTTTTCTCCTCTTCTTTCGTTTTCAGTTTTCCCCTCTGCTTCAGGTCCTAGTTGTTTCTCAGCTGGAACCTCCAAACCAGCCTCCATCTAACTTCTCCTTAGGGGAGGGTTTTGCTCTGTGGCACAGTCAACATGTGATTTCTAATTTTCTTTTTTGTTGTTGTTCCCTGATGGACAAGGATGCTCTGCACTTCCTGTTCACCTTCATGGGAAGGGACACAAGAGGGGCGAGATGTGCAAGGGGTGGAGACGGAGGGCAGGGAAGAGGACTCACCCCTGTGGCTTTCTGCTTAGTGTAGGCGTATTTGTCCCGCGTCAGTCTTTCAAAACGGTAGGTGGGTGCAAACGTGATTTCTTCCTCCTCTGAAACCAAACAAAACCTTGGTTTCAGTTTTGTTTTTCCACCTTTTACTTCTGGCTAAGTTTCCCCCTTTTCCAGGCAGCATCCTCCCCCTGTAAGGATATTTGGGCAAAGGGGAGACAGAACGATGGCTGGAGAGGATGGCGGTGCTTACCAAAGTGCAGGAAGACCTTCTGCTCCTTCCGCTCCATGAGCAGCTGGTCGTGGGACAGGAGGTCTGCATACTGCTGCTGCTTGATCTTCTGGATAATGGTTTCTGCCTCCTGGAGCAAGGACACGGCCAGGCCACTGGTGAGACACCCCCCTCACCAACACATCGCTGCCTTCCCGCCGGCTGCACCGGAAAGCAGAGCCCGAAGCTGCAGAGATCCTGGTTCCCAGGATGCTGGGTTGGTGCTTATTAACACTCAACCATTTTATAAGGAAAACTCTGCAAGGGTGGTGAAATGTAACTCAATGACATACGTTCGTGGCTGTTCTAAATTCGCGGACGGACACTATTTTTGCACACTGACTTCTAGCGTCGATAGGTAGGTACATCTCTTGCTCTCTCTCTGTGAGACAGCCTGCTGTAAGGCTGCGTAGGGATCTGGAACCTCAGCCCTGGGATCTCTGGGCATCGGGCCTCTGTGATCTGGCTTTGGACTCTGAGAGTCAGTTTGACATCAGTGGGATGGGTTGGCTTTGGAATCCAATAGCCATTTCTCCCAAAACTTATGTTACCTCCACTCTGGTGAATATATTTAGTTGACTTCTTGGGGAGTCTGCCCACCCCCTCCCAAGGAATCCTTCACCCTCCCTGAGTGAGCAAGGCTGTTCTGGCCACATGGCCCCTCTGACTGCTGCTCACTGGATGGGCATCCAACTTCAGACATGTCTTCCTTAGGCTGGCTGGTGATCTGCAATTTGGGGAGAAAACTGAGCTGGTCTCCTCAGACTTCAGCCTTTCCTGGGGATCTAGGACTGGCAAGCTGAGGGCCTGCTGCCAGCCAGCTGGAGGACCAGAGAGGCAGAGGAGTGGCAAAGAGGGGAGGCCAGGACAGTTACATGGGAAGTAGGTGTGAGCAGAGGCCAATCGTAAAGAAAGGTGGCGGATCCGTAATGGGAACAGCATTGAGCTCCAGAGAGAGTGTCTCGGTCTGTGTGCCTCCATGACCGTCTGCCCTGGGCTAACTCCAGGGAGCCTCTGTCCTGTGCAGCCCAGCTCCAGGCAGACAGCTCCTCACCCAGGTGGGCAGCTCCACACGGTAGTTGAGATCCCCAAGCCAGAAGAGGTGGGTGAAGCGGTGCGTGATGTTAAAGGAACTCAGTTTCCTGTCTCCCAGAGCCAGAAACCGGAGAATGTTCATGTAGTTTTGGTTTCGCCTAATTAACAAAAAAAAAAAGCAGACTTCTTAGCACAGGGTCTTTCGTTCCCTACTCCACATGGCAGGAAGTCAGAGGGGATGTAGGGGGAACTGAGACTGAAACCGCCAGCCCCTGCTACAGCAAACCACCTTAACGAGATCCCAGGCTGAACTGGGAACGCAGGCAGGGACCCGGGAGCGGCCACTCATTAGGGAATTGGAATCTTGGATCCTCCAGATGGCTGTCTTCATGACTGGGCCACCAGTAGGCAAAATGGTTTTACACTGTAAGGGTGCCCTAGATGAGGTCTTCCTTTTAGAAATGGAGTGGTATTTAGGTGCCCGTTGGGTTAATGACACAGGAAGTGTCTGTTCCATCCTTTAGATGTGATTCACCCACACTCCTGTGCTGCAGCTGCTTTGACGAGACCACGGGAAAGCCTTTAGAGGCCGACAGGGTCCTGGCCGCGGGCTGGGCCGTCCTCATGGTGTGTAGGGTTTGAGGTCTGTCTGGGAAGATGACCTCAATACCTGCTCTCCATTACCTGAGTTTCTTTTCGCTTCCAGAAGTCAAGTGGCTGTTGACAAATCCCAAGGAGGTTCCATTGAACATGAATGACACCCCCACAGCTCCCTTGTTCCCTAAAGGGAGGGGAGAAGGATGACATCAGAACATCAAATAGGCAAACTTGCCAAGCGGCAGGAAATCAAGGTGAAGCACTGTCATTTCTCAGGAGGGAAAAAGCAGGTGTGGGAAAGTGGAGGAGGAAGAAAGTAGACCAGCTTGGTCTGGGGGCGGGCAGTGATGGGTGATGGGCCTGGTAGGGGGCGAGACTCCTCCAGGACCAAAAGAAAATGGGATGAGTGGTGGAAGGAGGCTGCTGGTGGAACCCATTCTGGCATCTCCCTCTGAGGGGACTGTCAGCTTCCCCAGTGCCCAGGCAGGACCATCAGAAGCAGCCAGAAGCCTCGGGAAGAAGATTCAGAAGGAGAAGGCCGGGGCTGGGCAGGCTGATCTTCCACCAGCTCATTCCAGCTTCCTGGAGAGACCAAATCCCACACTGAGACCAGTGGCTCTCTAAGCGTGTTCCCTGGACCGGCGGCCTCAGTACCCCCTGGGAACTGGTTGGAGGTTCACATTCTCAGGCTCTGCCCTGGACCTGCTGAATCAGATCTTCTGGGGTTGGGGGCCCGTAATCCGTGTCTAGCAAGCCCTCTAGGTCAAGCGGTAGGCAAGCACTGGCCCACCCCCAGCTAAAAATGGCTTTTACATTTTAAAATAGTTGGGAGAAAATCAAAAGAAGAATGTTTTGGATACATTAACATGATACGAAATGCAAATTTCTGAGCATGCAGCTAACACTTTATTGGAGCATAGCTACGCCTCTGGGCAGTCACAGTAGAGATGACGTGGCCCGCAAAGCCTGAAACATTTACTCCCTGGCCTTCGAGGGCAGACGTCTGGCCGCCCTGCTCTGGATGGTTCTGACACTTGCAGAAGTCTGGGAGTGCTTCATGGGCTTGTCCAGCCTGAGAAGGGCTGTGAGTGTAAATTCACGTCGGGACTGTAAGCCTCGGTAAGGAAGACAGACTGTGAAACAGCTAATACATTTTTATACTGACTACCTCTTAAAATGGTAATATTATGAATGTATAAGGTTTGAGAAAGTACATTATTAAAACTGACAGCCCTGTTTGCCTTTCCTTTCTTTAATGTGCTACTAAAAATGTAAAACCACCCACGTGGCTCACATTCTGTCTGGGCCCCTGGAGCTCAGCGGGCTCTGCCCCCTCAGGACTCTGGGCGGAGCTGCGGCCACCGAGCTAGGATGGGCCTCCTGCACGCAGGCTCTCTCCTCGCTGCCCTGCAGCGTGGCCTGGGTTTAAATCCTCGCCCACCACTTCCTTGTCACTGGGCCTCGGACAGGCTGAGGAACCTCACTGTAGCCTCCAGAGCCTTGTCTGTGAATGGAGCTAGTGACAGTCCCTACACCCACAGGGCATCTGTGTTAAATGAACACCGTCAAGCATTTGGCACACGGCCTTGCATAGGGTACGCTCTCAGAAAGGTCTTAGCTCTTCCGTCAGTCAGCTAGCATTCACTGAGCTCCTACTCTGTGCTAACCATGGCTGGGGGACATTTTTGGGAGGTCAGGGGAGAGAGGCCAGCCTCAGGGGAGAGAGGGGGAGGTGAGGGAGGGGCTGGTGCATGGGAACTCCTCCGTCTCCAAGATGCCTTCCCATGGCCATAAAGCTCAGACTGTAAAGGCCTAGTGCCACAATCTGGCCTCCCCATCACCCACTAAAGCTGAGCTCAGGGGCTGCAGGGCCTTTGCTTCGCTGTTCTCTTTATGTGGCATGCTCCTCCCACGCACACCCTTCCTCACTCCTTGGACTTGAGTACCAACACCTTTTCTGAGAGAGTCCCTTTGACCTTCCATCTCAAGTAGCAGCTGGAGCTGCTCTGCCCACACACCGTACACTCTGCCAGCATGCTCACCCCCAGAAACGATCCCGCTGCCTGTCTGTCCTGCCTGCCTATCCAAAGGAGCAGGCTCTTGTCTGCGGTGGTAACAAGCCCCGGGCCCAGCCCCTTGAGGGAACGGGGTGGGGTTTGTCTTGTGATGGGAGGTCCAAGAGTATTGCAGGCTGGTAGCTTCTGGGATGGAGGAGGACAGCCCGGGCAGAGATGGATAAGGACTAGAAGGAGGTTCCTGGGCAGCAGAGGGCGTGGGCTTAGAGCAGGGCAGCTGCTGGGACAGGAAGGAAGGAGGCGAGTGGGTGTGGACGCGGGCAGTTTGCGGTTTCTTGGCAGAAAGGCTGAGAGAGCTTTTTACGTTCAACTGCAGCAATTCTTCTATTTCCTGTTACCTCTGGGGCTCTGTCCTGTCCCTGACGCCAACCATCAGAAACCGCTGGCCTCGCCCTCAACTCCACCCACTGCCCGTGTGGCTGCACTTGCCCCCACACCCTCGCAGTCAGACTCACACAGGCAGACCCACAGACTCGCACACTCACAGACGGACGGACTCACACACTTAAACGCAGACTGACGGGCTCACACACACTCGCACTCACCCTCCTGCAGTCTCCGCTCTTCTTTCAATTCTCTGAAGCACCCTGACCCGCCCCCGCCCCGCCCTGCTTCCCGCTCACCCAGCGTGTTGGCGATGCCCGTCTTCACATTGTCAGTGCAGATGTGGCTGATCCGGTTCTCGTGCTCCGGCTTGGCCAGCACCACGATGCGAATGTTCCAGAGGGTGTGGATGGCGATCTGGTGAGGAGGACAGTGCTGTGACCCTTGGCCAGGACTTAGTGCTTGACCCCAGAGCAAGGAGTCACACCCAGCCCTCACCCCAGCTATGGGGCACCCTGTCTGTAATCCTACGCTTCGGGGGGCTCCTAAGGATGCCTCACAGACGAGATGTCGATGAAGGTGATCTAAGAGCTCAGGCAGGGAAGAGGGAGGACCCCGGTGATCAGCAACACCCGTGGACCCTGTTCATTTCTGAATACAGGTGCCACTGTCTGGCTGTGGAAGGTGAGGGCCACTGAGCACATCCAGGTATCTTTGGAAGTTGAGGGCCAACAGGCTGACCCCGCCCTTGCCTCTGAGATGCTCCTGACTGGCTCTGCCAAGCCCACTGCTCCGGAGTCCCACCCAGGGCCGCGGCCACTGCTCACTGTTTTGAAAGTCATGCTGGTGATTTCTTGCAGGGAGTGTCTGAGTATCTCCAGCCACTCCTTCTCTCCCAAGGGGTCCTCCTGGGTGCCAATCACGTAGATGTCGTGGGGAATGTAGTCAGCAGAGTCATCCCGCGTCTTTCCCTGCCCCTTGGAGAGAAACCAGGACGTGATCTTCTTGGGAGGGGGGGCGTTACCTTCAACAGCAAAACCCAACACCAAGTGAGTCAAAGGTACATCAAGAGAATTCAAAACACAGGTGGGGAAAGCATGGGGGGTGGGGAGGAGGGTCATCTAGTCACTGAAAACCATTCAGGCCACCCAACAAAATACCTCAGATAGAGAACTAGGCACTATCATCTCCCAGGGTGTCAGGAGGGTCAGAACTCAGTTAAGTTTTTTGTAAAGATAGAGCTAAGTTTCTGAGACTAGAAACACCCAAAGATTCCGCACGGCAACTTGAGCTAGTTGACAAGATGTCAAACATGGTCCTGGTCTGTGGGGCAACTGTAGTAACAGACACAGGCCTCAAGAAACCTATGTTCCGTTGGTGGCGAGACAACCCGGTAGGCTGACAGGGTTAGGAGGGAGGCTTCTAACCATGGTTAGGAGACAATAATGACTTCCACGACAAGAGAGCGCTCAGCCAAAAACTGAGAGATGCGCAGGGGTTAGCCAGAGAAACAGAAGAGCGTGGAGAGCCCCACTCCACTGCCATTTCAAAAAATGAGCTGAGGGGGTGGGTATAGCTCAGTGGTAGAGTGTGTGCTTGGCATGCACGAGGTCCTGGGTTCAATTCCCAGGACTTCCATTAAATAAATAAACCTAATTACTTCCTCCTCTCACCAAAAAAAATACACCTAAAAATTGAAAAATAAAAAATAAAATAGTTGGACAAAAAAAGGGGGGAGGGTATAGCTCAGTGGTAGAGTGCATGTCCTGGGTTCAAGCCCCAGTACCTCCGTTAAAAATAAATTAAAAAAAAAAAGAGCTGAAACAGCTCAACAAAGAAATGATGATGAAAGATTTATTTCTCCTCAAGTGCCCTTGAAAACAATAAGCTTTCCCAAAGCAATAACCTCTTGGCTCACAAATGTCAAGAAGCCAAGACCTAGAGCGACTTGACCTTGGCCATCTCTGCTCCCACTACAGCTCACAGTGAGAGCACAAGCCCTGGGGGCTGGTGGCCTCCTCCTGGGGAGACCCTCCCACACCGCCCTGGTGTGACAGGGCCCCAGTCAGCATCTTCCATGCTGTCTCTGTGTGAAGGACACCCCCTGTGGTTGTGCACCTGGACTGCTTGAACCATGCCCGCCCAATTTAAGAGTTTCAGGCTCACAGAGGAAAAAACAGAAAGGGACCCGGTGGCCACGTGCATGAACCCCCAAGAGTGGGAGCCAGTGAAATAGGATGGCCAGTAAGAAACACTGAGGAGGAGAGAAGAGGACACAGAAACCGGGCCACAGTTCTATTTCAGTGCTGCTGTGGCTCCTGGAACATCTGGGCATGAAGGCCTAGGGAGAGCTGGGCTGCTGGAATCAGGGTCGGGAGCTCCCCTGACTCCCCTCCCAGAAGCCCAGCCCGTCCTGCACTCAGTGACAAGCCAGGAGTCCCAAGCTGTGTTTTCATTTCTGGATCATACTGTCGCATCCACCAAGGGGCGACACCTGCTGTGTTGGGAGGCCAGTGGTCCTGACTCTGATCCAGACAAAAGTCGGGGAGACCGATGCCTGGTTAAATTCAAATTTCAGATAAACAAAGGGTAATTTTTAGAATAAGCATGTCCCATGCAATATCTGTTGATCTAAAATTCAAGTTAACTGGAAATCTTGCATCTCCTTAATTTTTAAAAATTTCTAGCTAAATACTTAGACCAAATATTTAGTATAAATCATATTCAGTATAAAATTATATATTAGCATCTAAGTATATACTACATATATTTAATATAATATCTATTTGGTGTCTATTTGCACTTAATTCTAGCTGAATTGTTACACTAAGTAATTATTTAGTACATTTATATTCAGCCCATTATATTTATATATTTAGCATATGATATATATTAGTATATAAATATACAGTATATATATTTAGCATCATATATATTCCATTTGTGTATATTTATTTCTAGCTAAATACCTATACTGAGAAATTATTTGTTGTTTCTATGAAATTCAAACTTAACTGGGCATCATCTCTGCCTCTCTCAGTAAATCTGGCACCCTTGCTCAGGGAGGGAGTTCCTCCTTCCGGGCCTGAGACCCCCTCGGCGAGCTGCCCAAGGTCGGCAGGCGCCCAGAGCCTCTGTATATTCAGACTCTGCCTAAAACGTCCTAGTGTAGACGAGGAAGAAACCCATGTCAGCTGCACTTGGGTATGAGCCTCCTGGAGCT